GAGAGAAGAAGGAGGAGAAGGAGAAGAAGGAGAAGAAGAATAAGGAGGAGAAGGAGAAGCAGGAGAAGCAGGAGGAGAATGAGGAGAAGGAGAAGAAGGAGAAGAAGAAGAAGGAGGAGAAGGAGGAGAAGGAGAAGCATGAGAAGCAGGAGGAGAAGGAGGAGAAGGAGGAGAACAAGGAGAAGAAGAAGAAGCAGAAGAAGGAGGAGAACGAGGAGAAGAAGAAGAAGAAGAAGAAGAAGAAGAAGAAGAAGAAGAAGAAGAAGAAGAAGAAGAAGAAGAAGAAGAAGAAGAAGAAGAAGAAGATTCGACCTGTACATGTTGATTTTTTGGTGAAAAGTTGACATTTAGATGTTGATTTTTGCCAAGAAAACTAGATTTGGCGAAAAATCGACATGTAGATGCCGATTTTTGTCACAAAAATCAACAACTAAATTTCGAATTTTGTGACAAAAATCGACATGTATATGTCGAATTTTGACTGTGCGAATTTTTTTTTTTGGAAACTTATAAATCGATCACCTTACTATAAAAATACATTCATTCATAGTTTGTTTTCTACCTTTTCTATAGAATACACCATATTTATGTCTCATGACTCCATAATGTTATCATTTGCATGTTTTAGTAAGATTGATGGTTTTGGGTGTTGAGAATTTTTGGAGAAGATTAAGAATTTGTGTGAAATGGATTTTTGAGGAAGATGAAATGGGTTTTGCTTGTGTGGTCTTGCACAAGGAAGTTGTGGAATTTTGTAAATATGGATTTTAGTAAGAATATAATAGCCTTTTAGTAATTAATTCATTTGGTGAAAAAATAGATTTGATCTTCCCCTAAGTAATTTTTGCGATTGCATATAGTCACCGCCTTAGTTAAATGTTGTTTACATTTCTTCTACTGTTTGCAAGTTATTCAACAAAACATATAGTTTATAGTTTATAGTTTACATTTTGAGCGGACTCCATGTCAATACAAAAAATAAAATAACTATTATTCATAAACAAAGATTTCGAATTACAACTCATTAATATATTTGAATAGTAATTTGATTTGAAACCCAATAAAAAAAATAAAAAAAATAGGCGGTCTCATTTATTTTAGTTGCGTTATATTACTAAGCGCCATTCTTATTGTTTTTAAATTCAATGTGTTCTTTTTTTTTTTTTTTCAAAGTACAATTAATCCTACTTTTAATTCTCTGGTTAAATAATATAAGGTTAATAAAGTAATTTTACATAAAGTACGATGGAGTACGACCTTTGTACGATCTATTTTTACTCGGTTCGTACTTTAATTTATAAATTCATAGGTTCGTACTGGGTCGTACTAGTTCGTACTTTAAATCAACGGCTATAAATATTTACTAAATATTTTTTACGCACCAGATTAAATCGTTTGGGTCCGAGTAGTACAACCCCTCTCGGACCCTAGACAACCCCTAGTTTTCATTGGACGAAGACTACAAAGGATATCTTGATCAAAACGATGCTAGGTAATCTAGGTAGTTTCATAACTAGAATCGTATCTCTAGAATGTTCCATTGACCTATAACACTAGCTAATTTATCTCAAATTAATATTTATTATATATGTGAGGACTGTGCAAAAGTAGACTTGATGAGGGTTTGGTAGTATGCCAATGTTTTTTTAATAAATCTGATATGGGATGATTGAAAAACTAATGCATAAAGTAAGCTGCCTCACATGAGCTAATTAAGCTAAAAAGGCTTGTGACGTGAAGCATGGTTGTTCGAATTGGACCAGCCCTGACGGTTCAATCGAGTTGACCGCGAAATGGGAGCACACCGAGCCGGTTGAATGCCAAAACCCGGGAAAATAAAAAAAATGGGGCCAATATGCGGAAACCTGGTTCGACCGGCTAAAACCTCTAACCGAAAATCGGTTGAAGACCCTGATTGTTGTTCATACAACGTTTGGTGGACAAATCTCCGCGGTCAGTGCCGGCCCTGGGCAAAATCTAGGGAAGCAACAGCTTTGGGTCCCACTTTTCTAGTAGGTGTTAAGTATATATTTTTATACTTTATCGTATCTTTTTATTTGAGCTTTTTGTGTGAATTAACGATAATTGGTGCTTAAAAAGTTGATTTATTGTATTCTAGGTACAAATTGAAGAATTGGAAAAGTTTGGGGTCAAAACTGCAATTTTGGAGAAAATATGGGCCAAAAGTGAAATAATCAAAATATGCTGAAAATTGGCTGAAAACAGGCCCGCACGGCCGTGCCAAAATTAGCCTATTTGTGGCACGGCCGTGCCAAATGCATAATTTGGGCAGAAGGTTCGGCGATTCTCGCGCGGCCGTGCGAGAATTGCACTGATTTTCGCGCGGCCGCGCCAACACCCGCTAGACACAATTTTGGACTTTTAAACACACAAGGAAACCTAGAATCATCTACCAATTTGGGACATCTATTTAAGGGCAAACCAAGCACGAATTAAAGGACTTTTGGACACAACCTTGAAGCAAGAGGAGCGAGAGAACGAAGAATCGAAGACGGAGAATCGACAACTCTTCATCATAATTCGTCTTCGCCGATCTTTTCTTAATCTATGACTTTTATTACTTTTATTATGTTTTTCGTTATGAGTAGCTAAGTTTTTAATCTAGGATTTTGTTGGAACCCTATGTGGGGATGGTGAACCCGTTTTCTTGAGATTATGCAATTATGATTTTATGATTATTTCTTCTGCTTGATATGATTGTTAGTGCATGAACTTGATCAATTTATGTGCTTTATCTGTGATTATTGGGATTGACTCGACAGAGTTATTTTGATAATTAGACGGTAAGTAGAAGAACCTTCGAGTAGTTTTCACCGGATGAGTGTGTCAATTGCATGTGGTGTCGTAGACATACAGATATCACCTTAGGTAGCCATTTACGAGACTTGTTAGTTAATGCTTTATTCATAATTGGTTTGCATAGACATATAGTGAATCGTTTATGAATAATAGACTCATAATACACGCGACAGCGGGTTATGAGTAAATTAGTGTCTCGGGTTAATAATCATGAATCATATATTTCATAATTGAGGGGTTTTGGGTGAGCAATTCTTGCATAGGGGGAAGATAAAATCCTAGGTCCGTTTTAATTGATATTTTCCCGTGTTATTTGCTTTCTTAATTAGTTTAGTTGTTTAATTGATTTAATTTGACAAACTTGCGTAGGCTGGATAAAAATCATAATTGTTAGAATTTGGTACTTAGGATTAGGTAATTTGCGTATTCCCTGTGGGATCGACATCCGACTCTCACGAGTCCACTTTATTACTTGTTTGCGATACGTGCACTTGCGTGTTGGTATTTAGCACCCAACAGTAGGCCCCATAATTAATTTTAGGGGTAATTTTTATAGACCTCCACTACTAGATTCTATAGGTATTAACCTAAGTCATAAGTCCAATTTTGCTAAAACCCCTACAATTAATTATGGCCAATATACCCTTAAATAAAATAGAATTTTTTTAATCTTAAATCAATAAATAGCAAATTTATTTTCCCTGAACCCATCTAGCAAAAATAGGGTCGCAATTATCTTGATCGTTGAATCTCTCCTAGAAACGAAAAAAATCTCTCCCTTTTTATGCGAAACAAATACTGTAATCCTAGAAAAAATTGTGAAATTGATTTTTCTAATCGTTGTTCTCGTAGATGTAAATCTCAAAAAAAAAAAAAAAAAAAAAAAAAAAACCCAGAGAGAATGATTAAAGATGGAAAAAGTACAGGTGATTTGCTCTTCTATATCTGTCCTTTTATGTTTTTAATGGCGATTTATTCACGAATTGTCATGAAAATTTTGATCAATGGATCGAAAGATGTTGATATTGATTATTCGACCCCAGTTACCATATCTGTTTTTATGTGAAAATCAATGGTTTCTTGCTTTTGATTTTGCTGTTTTTTGTTACATAATTTTTTGATGTCGATTGCAACATGTTATCGGTTTTTACCCATCATAACAGCAAAGTGCAAAATAAACAAGAACATGTTATTGGTTTCTTGCTTTTGATTTTGCTGTTTTTTTCTTTTGTATTTAGCCATTTCATAATGTATTGCATATTGCGAGTAATTGTACTTTTTGCATCTCGTTGTTGCAACTTCGAACATTGTATTTCTCTATAGAGATTCTATGTTGCGTTTTGATATTGTAATATGCATTGATGCAAATTTGTGCAAATTTTAATTGGAAGCTTTTTTGGTTGAATTCGTATTTTACTGTCGCTGCAGCTATAAGCCAGAAGAAAACAAACAAGAGATTCATTAGAGGTTGATGCTACTGACACGATCATGTTTCTAGAAGATCCCCAATGACGTTTGGAAGTTGTGAATTCAGTCGGACGTCGAGACTATGTCCGTTATGACATCACCCATCCATAATCAATTATGATAGATTGTAGTTTGTTTATTGACTATATTGCAACACTGCTTGTATCTATTTATTTGTATTTTACAATATTTTGTATTTAATGTACTGATTTATTCCTAAATAAAAATTGTTTGGTGGTTTGTTATATCATCTTTTATTTCATATTTATATTTTAAAGATATTTTATATTGTTCGAGGAAGAATAAACTTGAACATCTGATGTTTGAGCAAATTATCATTAGTTTCATATCGTGTTGTTGTGAAAATACATTTGTAAAATATTATTTTTGACATATGGTAGGTGATTCCGTATTATATTTATTTTGCTATTTATTTTTGCTGTTATAAATTGCAGTTTGTATGTTGCTAATTGTATTTTGCAATTTGTTGTTGTAACTTGACACAACTTGGAGTGAGAGAGCCGTGAGACTACTAAAATAGAAAATAGAAAATAGAAAAGAAAAAAAAGAGAGAGGCGTGACTGAGAGGTGAGAGAGAGGAGTTAAATGAGAGAGAAAAGAAAGGAAGGGAGAGACGTGAGGGAGAGGAGAGAGAAAGGAGTTAAAGGGGAGAGTGAAATGTGAGATTTTATTTATATTTTTCATAACTAACTACCTTAATATAAATAATAATTAAGGGTATTAATGTCAATAGAAAAATAAACTAATTTAATTTATATTACATTTATTGGTCAAGGGACCTATATGTTGGGAATCGGATACGTGTACGCAGCGGAAAACAAAAATTTTATGCGAGTTTAAAAAAATTTAAATCACATAATCACATGCCCGACAAGTATAAACAATTAATTGCGTACCTTTGCGCTTCCAGCGAAAATTAAAAACGACAATCATACGAATTAATTTAATCGACAGTAAATCAATTAGCATGCTCGCAGTAAATCATTTAACATGCTCGCTGTAAATCATGAATTTCATACAAACACAAAATACATATTAATTCATGAAACATACTACCAACATGGATAACTTAATCTAATTGAATTAAAAACCTAACGAATACCGGATTCGAGAATTATGGATGTGTATAAAAGTAAAATAAAATACAAGGGCCTTCCTTATTTTAAAGTTTGGTCTACAAATACATGTAATCGTACCTTGCTTTTGACCATGTAATAAATCCTAGAAAAAAAAAAAAAAAAAAAAAAAAAATTGGACTAAGGCATGTTTGTGATGAGATTAAACTTTCTGCCCATAACACACACAATTCATTTGACATACACACATATTGGTATACATACATAGCCATACGTGCTTGCATTCTTAGCAAAAAAGAAAAAAACAAAACCAAAAAAAAAAAAAACAAAAAACCAAAAATACATATAGTGAGAAATGAATACAATATATAGGTACCAGGTGTGTAGGCCACTTGGAATAATTATAATAATAATAATAATGATAATAATATCAAACAATTCCAGGTTGAAGGGGTTTAGGTTTGTGAGGTTTGTACCAGGCAGCACAAATAAGATAGATGATGAGGTTAACAAAGCCAAGAACAGCCAATAGACCATAGAAGCAATCAAGTCGGCCGTGGTTTATATTATCAGCAAGCCAACCTTGTCCGCCATTGCTTGTTGTCACCTTCTTCACCACAGAAACCAAAAAGCTACTCACAAAAAACCCAAGTGAAAGAGTTGTCAAGAAAAGTCCAGTGCTCATTGTCTTCATTCCCTTTGGTGATTGTGTGATGAAGAAATCCAGTTGGCCCGTGTATATGAACGCTTCCCCGGAACCAACCAGGAAGAACTGTGGTATTAGAAGAAACACACTTATGGGTACATGATCATCAGCTGTAGTATTATTATTTACTGACTTTGCCACTGAGAGTCTCTTCATCTCAACTAATGCTGCAACCGCCATTCCTAGTGTGGAAAGTACTAAACCTATGGCTATTTTTTGTAGGCTTGAGAAACCTGTTTTACCTTTCCATTTATTCCAAAGGGGCATTATTATGCGGTCGTAAACGGCTAATGTGATTAGGATAGCTGCGACGAAGAATACAGTGAGTGAGCCTGCTGGTATTTGGAAGTTGCCGATTCTTCTGTTCATTGTGGAAGCTTGTTCCACTGAAAATGTAATCATCTGTGCATATGTTGTCCAGAATATAATTGTTGTAGCCCATATTGGAAGCAATCTCCCCATCATCTTCACTTCTTCCACTCTTGTCACTGATCTTAGCTTCCATGGATTTGGCCCTTTCGTATTCTCCTTCAAATCTCCCTCTGCTACAATCGCTGCCTTGTCCAAGAAACTACACATACGGAAATAAAAATAATAATTAAGAGTTTTTTTTGCAATTGTTACACTACCCTTTTGTTATATCGAACGGTTAAAAAAACTACCATACGTTATTTTAGTGGTTAAAAAAATCTTATGATTTTTTTTTAGGGGGGGTTTCGCCAATAAAATAAGTTGGGGTTGTTTTTTAGCAATTTGACATAACACAGGGATATGTACTAATTGTAGAAAACGCACTGAATTAATGACTTACTTGAATTGATCGGTGTGACGGATTCGTGATTCGTCAGGAGTGTCCTCATAGAGCATGTCTATGTTGTAAGGAAGGCTCATGTTTCGTTTCCTTATAGCTGCAGCGATGACCTGAAAAATATGGACGATGGGGCTGCCCGAGCTTTTCTTGTACCTGTACTTTTTAGTCCCGGAAAGGAATATCAAAATTGCTATCAACATTGAGGCAGAACATATCCCATAAGCCAAGCTCCGTCCCACTTCGTCTTGTATGTAGACAAGAACAGTGACAGCTGTCAGTGTACCTATGCTTATGAAGAAGAAGAATCTGTTGAAGAAATAAGCCATCTGTGCTTTCTCCTTTTCGTCTTTCTCATCAAACTGGTCGGTCCCAAATCCAGAAACACTGGACTTGAGTCCACCAGTGCCTAGAGCTATGAGGTACAAAGCAAGGTACAATATTGCTATTTGGAATCCGTTCGCTTCCTTACAGTTTATGTCGCGGGTATGGCAAGGCGGTGGGCGCAGCTCTGGCAGTGCGGTTATTGTTGCCAACATGCCAGTTCCCTGTATTATTTTAATTAAATATTTAGCACCATTCATTACTGTTGAATGACCACCTCTCAACCAACAGCTTAAGCTGTTAGTTAAATGTATCATTTAATATTAATATCTCCACCAATAATTAAGTATTGCAGTTTACTGGACTAGTTAACAATATTAGATAACGGTTGTTTACATAAATGAATATGGCTCTTTCAATTATTTCTTACCAGTGTTTGTACAAGGGCAAAAACGGCGATCGTTTTGTATCTACCGAGAAAAGAATCAGCGAGAAATCCACCCAATAAGCATAGGAGAAAACAAGTGCCCATGAAATCAGTAACAATGTTGGCAGAAGTGGAGCTAGGCAGATGCATCACTCCACCCAAGTAGGTCACCAGGTTCACAGCTATTCCCATTGTTGAAAGCCTCTCACATATTTCTATCCCTGAATTTACATTTATATATAACCAAATAGTTAACAATTAATTAAAGACTGTTTCTTTTCAATTTCACTTGCATGCAATTACAATGGTAATTAGTTCATGAAATAACTTCAATACTTGTTTATGCTCTAATAATTAGGATGAAGCTTGGAAACAAAAGGTAAATATTTGAGGGATAATATTGTATTAATTAATTATAGTATAATATCATCTTAAATGTATGAATGAGCTAGGATAAAATCTTGGTACAAGAACATTTATAAAAGCTAGGATATAACTAATTTGATCCCAACTCCAAAAAGCAGGGGATAAATTAAATATAAATATATAATTAATGGAGATAATATGAAAAACTTTTGAACAACTTTTAACTTCATCCATAGCCCTAGGATGTGGACCTCTTTAGTAGTACTCATATTCATAAGGAATCAATATTCACACACACAAAAAAAAAAAAAAAAAAAAGACATATTTTTAACAGTTAAAATGAATTTAAGAGAGAAAACAAATACTATGTTAGATAGGCCACACCTGACTGACTGACTGACTGACTGACACATTCTTATAATAATACTATACTAATTCTGGAGTAATAGACATGAAAAATGAGAGAGAGAGAGAGAGAGAGAGAGAGAGAGAGAGAGAGAGAGAGAGAGAGAGAGAGAGAGAGAGAGAGAGAGAGAGAGAGATGATATGAGATGAGATGAGAAAGAAACCTAGGATAAGTGCAGCTGGTACCCAACCACCAGTGTTGGACCTGTCAGCTGGTAACCCATTGTAGTCTACTGCATCTCCAACTGTCAAACTCATCTTTTCATCCTGCACCATTTATGCAATTAATTACTAAATAATGTTTACAACCCCTATTTGAGCTATGGTGGGTACGTACGTATTTGAGCTATGCAATATACTTACCATGTATATAGTTTGGTTTTGTTTCTCTCTTTGTTGGCAAATATGGCAATGATGATAATAAAGGTAATAATCTCAGAAAGAGTAAGAGAGAAAGATGGAGCTTATTAGAAAGAGTGGATGATTATTCATACAACTCAGAGAATTGTTTTGAGTTATGTCTTAGAAATAAAACATGTGACCTATTTATAGAATATGAAATATTGGGTTGGACTTTAAAAGGGTATTTTACGAAAATCCCCTAAACTTAGGCTAAATAATGAAAAACACCCCCACCGATCCATAATAACCAAAATCCCTTTTTGATTAACTGTTGATCGAGTTTTTTAACAGAAAATGTGTACAGTTTATTATAACTTCTCTTAAATATGTGAGAAATAAAAGAAAATATCTGATTGTGTAAAGTCTATTCCTTGGAATAAAAAAATAATTCATTAAAAGTTACACTGCAAGGGATTGATGTAGGACAAAAACACACCAAAGGGGGTTTTTGATAATTATGAATAGGTGGAATTTTTTTGTTATTTAGCCTAAGTTTAGGGGGATTTTCGTAATTTACGTGACTTTAAAATGATCCTCCAACACCAGGTGGAGACAGATGGTTGGTTGATAGAGTTAGGGCCGGGATTAGTAGGCCTATATATCCCATTTATGGATGGAATGTTCTAGGAGTAGCTACTTATTTATTTATATTATTATTATTGAATTCCAAGAAGGAAAAAAGAAAAGAAAATTAGAGAGATCTGAATGAAAAAGATGATGTTGATTTGTTGAAAGTGGGAAGGTAAAGATAGAATCTGGAACATGGAATGCCAATGTGAGCTTGTTTCACTGTCACACCATATAATGTATGGAGTGCATATATCAATTTTATGTTTTATTTTTTTATTTAACTAATATTAATATTTTTGTGAAGCACAGTAGACAACCCCTCCTGGACGACTTGCTCACTAGCTAATTAGTGCTTTTGCTGCCCCACCTCTCAAAAAGATTACCATCTCCTCCATTTGTATTTGTCTATTTATTATGTATGTATGTATGTATGGGCATATATAATTTAATCATTCAACAGAGGAAAAGGGAAACGTGAAACTGTTCTTCTTTTCATATATTATTATAGGCAACTATTTGTATAAACCCACAGCAATTGGCATATATATACAGATAGACACTGGGTAAAGTTGGATTTGTTGCCGACCAAATGAAGGAATATTAATTGACATTCACTCATTCATCTGAATATGCATGGGACTCAATTTTTGTGTCACTCTCAGCATATTAAGTTGGAAATCTGCCCACTTATAGATATGGTAGAAAGTTACTGCAGAATATCCGGGCCATGCATACAGGATTTATAATAAAGTCTCTAGCTAGTTTTACTAATTAGGACATCCTTTTTTTTCTTCTCCTCATTTTTTTTTTTCGACACCTTATTATTTTTCATTCTATGTTAACTTTATTGTGTTTTACGAAATGGTCTGTTACAAATAAGCCCATCATGGGGTACTTCTTCGTAAAAATGTCCAAATAAAAAAATATTCATAAAAAAATTCAGACATTATTCAGAGGTGTGTAAAAGATTAAAATATTTTCTCACATTTTCAAATAAGCCTATCATGGGGTTCCTATTCATAAAGGGGTCCAAATAAAAAAACATTTTACAAATAAATCCAGACATTGTCCAGAGGTGTGTAAAAACTAAAATACTCCATCACATTTTAATATGCTCCAATTTCATCATTTAATTAAATTTAACCTCAATTTCACCATAACTTTCACCAATTATTCAATTTTGACCCATAATCCAATTTTGAGTATAATTTAGTATGTCGCCTCCGTTGACCGCCGGTCTCCGGCGTTAAATTTTTTTTTTCTCTTTTTAAAAGTTTTTTTTTCTTCAACAAATTTTGGCCCCTTTAAACAGTAATATTGTTGTGGTTGACAGTCATATTACCTATATTATTGTTTAACACAGTAATATTGCTATATTACTCTCTAGCACATTAATATTAACACAACATAAATCACTATTATTGTGTAATAGAGTAATATTAATATGCCGACAACAACAAAGCCAAAGACAATAAAAATGCAAAATAAATAATATTGATGTGGTTGATAGTAATATTACTGTCAACCACAATAATATTATTGTAACGACAGTAATATTACCGTCAACCACAATAATTTTATTGTGTTTACAGTAATCTTACAATAGTATACAATAATATTATTACGCTAATTAGTCAACAAATCAAACAAAATAACAAAAAAAAAAATAATATTGATGTGGTTGACAATAATATTATATTGTTTACAGTAATTTTATCGTCAACGACGGTAATTTTATTACGATGACTTGTCAAAAAATAAAAAAAAGAATTGATGTGGTTGACTAAATTACTGTCAACGACCGTATAATTACTGTTAATGACTATACAATCACGGCCAACGTTCAACGGTGAGCATAAAAAAAATGGATAAATAAATTAGGGGTAAAAAATAAAATAAAGTCAATGCTGGAGACCGGCGGCGGAAAAAATAGACAGAAAAAAAGAAAAAGAAAGTCAATGCCAAAGATTGGCGTTGAGCGCCGGAAATCGGCAACAAAAAAAATTAGAAATATTTTTTTTTATAAAAAGAAAAAGTCAAAATTAGATTTTTGTGATCAAAATTGATGAAATTATAGTTAAATTGGGGTGTTACAATTAGGAATTGAGTTTAAATGGTTATGGGTAATTTTGTCATATACGTTTTTGCCTTATTTACAATACATATTTAATGAATGAGCTTATTGGCGAAAGAGACATATGCAATGAAACTAGAATAACAAAGATGGTTGGTTAAGGACTTATGTATAAAAACCCCTTTTATAAATGGGAAAATAAGCAAGACCTCCTCATCTAGCAAATACATATAGGAGATGACCCTTTTTTTTTATTTTTTCTTTTTTTAATAAATTTTGAGAACGTATTTTCCTTAAAACAACCCTCCTCACAAATTAATACATCGAATCTACTCTTTTAGAACCGTAATCTCATTTTTCATCTCTCTCGTCTCCTAATGTACCTTTCCAGAACTGTAATCTCATTTTTCATCTCTCTCGTCTCCTTTTCACGTTTTTCTCTTCTCTATTCTCTTTTTTTTTTTTTTTTTTTTTTTATTTATATCTTTTCTATTTTCGCACCAAAATCTCGACGCTCTTCTCTTTTGATTCGGAGATGAAGAACAAGCGTCGCCGGCGCCACTAGAACAACGGCGCTCCTTCTCCTTCTCGTGGAGACGTCGCGGAGGGGGAAATTGTGGACGACGACAGAGATGAAGAGCGGGACTGCTCTTGCACCGTTTCATTTGAGAATGAGCAGGTGGCGGCTTTAGGTGGTGGTAGTGGCAGTGTGGGAGGGGAGGCGGTCGATGTTGGAGGGGGACGTGGCGAGGCGGACGGCGTTGATGGTGTGGTCATGATGATGGTGTGGTCATGGTAATGGTGTGTTGTGGCGACGGTGTGGTGACGATGTGGAGTAGACGGTGTGGTGATGATGTGTTGGGGGCATAACATTGGTGTGTTTTTGTTCAGCCATTGTCAATCCATAATCCGATTATGTATAAATTAGTTATAGTTTTTGTAAATTTATTGTTTTGTAAAATTAACGTACACATTTAATTCATGATCTCTACTTTGATGTTACAATAGAAGGTATTCCTATAAAGTGAACCCTATATGCCGTGCATGAATACCCGCAAATTTCTCTATCTGCCCCCTTTCTCCTGTCTTCTCTTCTTTCACTCTCTCTCTCTCTCTCTCTCTCTCTCTCTCTCTCTCTCTCTCTCTCTCTCTCTCTCTCTCTCTCTCTCTCTCTCTCTCTCTCTCTCTCTCTCTCTCTCTCTCTCTCTCTCTCTCTCTCTCTCTCTCCATACACCACCTTTATATCTCTCTTTGATTTTTCCGATGGAATACATAGAGAAACAAAAGAAAGGTTCTTTATATTATGAGATTATATGTTCGTGAAAGAGTTAAAAGCCGACAACAAACAACTCACTGCTTACAAAAAGTCAACTCTTTACTTCTCCATCTCTGTATTTATTTGTAGTGAATTTATAATTTTTGTTTGTGGTTTCTTTTGCTCCAGCAAACAACAACAAAAAAATTAAAATGGCAAAATAAATTTGAAGCAAAAAACGAAAGACTGCAAATTGCAATCCATAACTGTTGATTTTTTGCAAACTGAAAATTGCAAATTTTTACATTGGAAGATTTTGTTGTTTTTTACATTTGCATGTTTTTTTTTTTATTAATGTTGTTATTGTGTTTGAATTTAGATGGTGTGCATCATATTTTCAGTTTGTTGTTTGCAATTAGATGAAATAGTTTGTTGTTTGTATTTGATCGAGTCATAGGTAGTATGTTGTTTGCAATTATATAGTGCATATTATATTTTTCAGTTTGTTGTTTTCATTTTGGTGAAATCATAGGCAGCTATGGAAGTTTTTTTTTAGAGTCTGCGTTTTTTGCAACAAATATTTTTCGGCTGCGGCTATATGCAATACTAATACCATTTGTGCAAGACCAAATTAAAGAAAGATTCCAAAAGATTCCATTTTATGAAGATAAAATGACAAATATACCCATAAATTAAATTGGATTTTGTTTGCTCGTGCAAGACCAAATAACAAATAATAAAAAAATATGAAACAACTAAATTTCGACATTAAGGTGTCGAATATATGTCCATAAATTCGACACCTTAATGTCGAAATTTAGTATATTTGGACTAATTTGCTAACAGTTAAATTTCAACACTAAGGTGTCGATTTTGTACTCCAAAATCGACATCTCAATGTCGATTTTTACCTATAAAATTCGACATGTACATGTCGACCGCGTCTGCGCGGTTTTTTTTTTTTTTTTAAGTATGAAACAACTAAATTTCGACATTAAGGTGTCGAATTTATGGACATAAATTCGACACCTGAATGTCGAAAATTTAGTATATTTGGACTACTTTGCTAACAGTTAAATTTCGACACCAAGGTGTCGATTTTGTACTAAAAAATCGACATCTCAATGTCAATTTTTGCCTATAAAATTCGACATGTACATGTTGACTGCGTCTGCGTAGGATTTTTTTGGAAAAATGATACTCTAGCT